CTAGCGTTATTCACTACGACTAATAATCCATCACAAAGCCAAGATATTTAATTTTCCAAAACATATCAGACAGAACTTAACATATCAAACTGAAAGTAAGTTGCACATTTCTGAAAAAGGTCGAGAACACAGAAATACTAACGCCATATCCCCAAAATTCACATGTCAAGGAGACTATCCGAAAAATGAAAGTTTCAAGGAGAAAAATAGGACTTTGCCTACCAAAGTTAGGAATATTAATCTGGCAACAGAGATAAAAACTGTGCTCTATTCTCCTTAGGTTCTTCTAGAAGAGTGAATGGTCCCTTCACCGGGCAACAATTTTTCAAATCAAGAGATTAGTAGAAAGGAAAATTAAGGAAATTATCCAATTACAATAAACCTCAAGGTAAGAGACTGGCCTTGGCGTCCAGCAATGAGCAGACTGAATCTTTCTATTTCGAAGCCCCAAGCACATGCCGGAGGCATCCCATAAAGCAAAGCTTGTGAATAGCCCCTGCCTGCAACACTTGTTTCTCTGGGTCCAGGTTGTCCACTCCTGCGCAGATCATGTACACGCTGTAACCTTTCGAGAGAATCGACCAACACAGAGTAGCCATTGCAGAGCTGTTATAACAACTTTTTTGTTAGTCAAGTCAAAACAAAACTCTAAACAAAAGAAATTTCATCATCATCACCCTAAACTTACTTCATGCTTGTTGATAATAAGCTCGAATCTTTCAGCCAAACCAGGGTTTGATCCATGCTCTTTTGCCAATGGACTCATGATGGCAGAATGGTTTACGATGAAAGTCGGCTGCACACACTGATCTTTAACATATTTGCCCACAAGCTGCAGAGAGAAAAGCGATTACATTCCAGATCCTATGTCCATGAATCGATAATTGTGACAGAAAGAGTTAACCTTGTCTAACAGCTGAACTGTTGTCATTGGAGGAGGGCATGTGACGCCAAGCCTAGCACATGCATCAACAAGATAAGTGTTGGCTGCTTCGCTAGCCAAGTCTTCTGGTAACTTCAGGCCTGCCTGCTTTTCGAGCTCTGCTATCATTTGAATCGTCCTACAACAACAACAAAAATTGGGTAGACTCTTGTTATCTACCTACCACATATAAGATCCACACAAGGTCATGGAATGAAGAGAAAGCCTCAGGTTACCTGAATGGAGGAGTGAAGTCAATTTCGAGCGACTCATTAGCAGGATACTTGATTTTGTAACCACCTCTTAACTGTTTGACCATCCCACTCACCATATCCTCAGTCAGTTTCATTAACTGTTGGTAATCCGAAAGTGCCATGTAGAACTCGCAAGTGGAGAACTCAACACCCTCGTGTCTGAATGTCTTAAAAACACGGCCAAAAGAAGGAATTCCACCAGCAGCGGCTACCATACCAAACCCTTGAAAAATTTGCTTCAGAAAGAGATCAGGAGATCCACCATTCAACAAGCATTCCTCAGTCTACATAAAATTTAAACTATATCACAAGGACAGAA